CACGCCGGGGGACAACAAGCGCCAGTCCCGGAGGCTGAAGGCGGGCCAACAAGCGTTGGCAGGTCTGACCTTGGGCTCACTTCCGGTCTCGGCCTCGGATACTCCAGAGGCTGGGACATCGACACAGAGGACTGGCGAGGTGGAGGAACTTGGGGGGGGAACTCTCTTCCCCTGGATCCATGGGCACACCAGGGCATGGAGATTTCGGATCGGCCTACCATCCTGCCGATCACTCACGACCCCAATATCTCCGACAAGGTCATGTACCTCCAGATGGCTTTCAAGCAGCGTCCCTTAAGAGACGGTGGAGGAAAGCCCTCATTGGGACGGTTGGCCCCATGGGCCCGACCGCTGTCCAAAGCAGCAGCGCTGGGGCAAGATCTGTGTCCTCACTTCGCCGTGGGGGGACAGGCTCCAGGAGTCGCTCTCGTTGGGGGATGGGTCACATCCCTTCCCGGAGGACCTGCTGGAGGACATCAGGGAGATTGTGGCGGTGGGGGCAGGCCGACCAGCGGACTTCCTGGACATCTTGCACAGCGTGGCTGAACAGGGACCTGGAGCAAGCCCGCTGGGGGTCACGGACCCACCCCTGACTTCGCCGGGCATCTGGCCACTCAAGAAGGAGCTGAAAGGGGAGGAACCGGAGTTGCAGGAACTCCCCCACCCAACGGGCAGGGGTAACTACCCCTCGGCGGACCACTTCAGCGAGCTCATCCGGGGCACATTTCTGGAGGAGGTCCCCATGGGCATGGTGGAGGGCCCCTTCAGTAAGGTGGAGGCAGCATCGCGCTGTGGCTGCGAAATCGAGGACCTTTGTCCCGGCCCCCTGGCGGGCATCGACGAGGGGGACAAGATCCGCAGATGGCTCGGTGGGAGGGGCCAATGACACCATCAGGAACCAGACGGTGGAGAGGACGACGGCTCCGATTGGCTACATGCGGCAGCCGAGGAGGGACCCCCCTGGCCCCGAGGGGGCAAACCTCCACCTGGGGGCTGGCTCTGGCCGGAGCCGGGCACCAGGTGGGTGCTGCTCAAGGCGGACGTCACCAATGAAGGTCCTCAGGAAGGACTGGCGGTTCCAGGTGGCCTCACTGGGGAAGAATGGTGGGTGAACAAGGTAGGCACATATGGCATGGCCAGTGCCCAATCCTACTGGGGACGCCTGGCAGCCCTTCTGCTCAGGGTCCTCTACGCGCTTTTCCCTCAAGTGGATTGGAACTTCGTCTTCGTCGACGACTTCCTGTGGCTGCTTCGAAGCGAGGGGGCAGTGAACTTGGCGGTGGCGCTGCTGGCCACACTCCTGGCATTGGGCACCCCACTTAGCTGGAAGAAGACGCACTTGGCGGAGGTTAACACGTGGCTGGGCTTCGTGGTCCACCCGAACATCCCGCAGGTTCTCATGGCGGCCAACAAACACATCCTGGTTATGGAGGTTTTACAGACCATGGTGGAAGGGCAGGCGATGCACTCGAAGGACATCGAGAAGGCCCTGGGCCGCATCCAATGGGCAACGGCCGCATGTCCGCTGGCGAAATCGATGCTCCAGCCACTTTGGGCCTGGAAGATGGCCACAACCACGGCGGGGAAACCCCCTAAGGTGGTCAGGATGCTGGCGTTCATGCTGCGGTTCCTCTTCAACACGCCCTTCGTCCAGTACTCCCCCTACTTGCCGAAGTCCTCTTGGTGGGGTTGCAGCGACGCTAGCGCCTCGGACGACGGACTGGCATTTGTGGGAGGTTGGTGCTCCAACACGGTGGAACCGGACAAGAAGGAGGTGTACTGGTTCCATGAGCAGATCCACGTGGAGGAGTACCCTTGGGCTTTCAAGAATGGGGATCCAAAGCGGAGGATTGCAGCTCTGGAGATGCTGGGCACGCTCTTCCTCTGTAACATGATCCTCACGCACCAAGGCCCTCTGTCCTCCCGGGTCCGACTCCCGGTGGGCAGTGACAATCAGGGCAACGTCATGGCGATGCTCAACCTTGGATCCAAGAAGCCCTACACGGCGGCGATCCTGATGGAGCTGGTCTTCCTGCTCCACACCCATGGCTGCTCGCTGGCGGCCAACCATGTGCCCCGTGAATTCAATCAATGGGCTGATGAGCTGACGCACCCAGATTTCTCTGGGTTTGACCCTTTGCAAAGGGTCCCCAAGCAGGAACTCTGTGAGGAGTTTGTTTTTCTCCCGCGTCTCCTGAATGGAGATGCATTTGATCTCAGCGTGGGCCCACCCATCTTCCCCTGGTGGCAGACCCCCCTGTGGCCTGGGTGCCACGGGCCCCGGCTCAGGGGCGGGCGCTATCAGTCTGCACACCCGTTCTTCAGTTTTTGAGAATTGTGAGTTGGGTGGCCCATGGGGCCCACCCAGCGTTGGTCATCTGACAGGGGAAGATGAGTCCCTGGCACCAACACACTGCTCGGATGAAAGAGTTATCGCGTGCTCGTGTGTGGTGCCGTTTGGTTAGCTTGCATACACTTTGTTTTGTCTTTTTCTCGGAACCCTTTTGTGTTTGAACCCATGGCCCCAAAAAGTGCCACCGGGTCTCCGCGGCAGTTGTCCTCTTCGGGCTGCGAATCGCTCCGAATCGCTGCGACTGCGAAGCGAGGCGGGTGCAGCTGGCCACCCAGGAGAGCCAGGGGAGGCGGGATTCGGCGCCATCCGCATGGCCAGGCGCAAAGTCATGGCCAGAGGTCCCCCAACAATTGGTGCCGTTTCTTTCTCACCGCTTCTTTTTTGGTTGGAGGGGAACCCCCTACTAGTATAGACTACAGAAAAAAATGATACCGTTATTCTGAGCTCTCTACTGCAAAGACGTGTGCAAGGAATACGAGTCTTCAACTCCCAGTGGCCCAGTGGAAGGGCCTTTTGTGTTTTTTTTTGGGGGGGAAGGGTTACCTCAAAAGAGCAAAGGGCATGGGACTCAGCAAATCCAAACTCAAACTGGGGTACCCCTTCTTGGTTTCAATCATCATGTTTACCGCGGTCTCTTCCAACATCATTTCATATTTCAGGCTCCACACAATAGGACGCATGTCTGAACAACATGTGGGCGTGTCGTTTTTCTTTTTGGAGGTCCCTTCTGGTTTTGAAGGGGGATCCAAACGGATAGCTATCATTTTTGGGTCCGATTCCTTAAAAAAACAAACATGTATTTTTGTGTGTACTTCAGATGGCCAAGACCGGAGCGTGGCGCGAGGCTTACCCACATCTCGGCTGCCAGCGACTCTCTTTGGCGCTTGGCTCGGTGAGATACACGCAGAGTTCATCTAGACAGAGTCGGGAGCCAGCTGCCTGGTGGTCTTTGTTTCCGTATTTTCCCTCTGGTTTTGAAGGGGACTGGTCATTTCTGGCGAAGATTTCAGTTTTGCGTGGTGAAAGAAGCTCGAGGGTGGAAGAGTTGGCTCCCTTCTTTCCCTTTGGGACATCTCGCAAAGGTTCCTCCTCAGAAGTGTCTGGGTCTCAACCATTTGAATGCAGAGTGGCGGAGCCTATGGGGTGTTTGGGTCAAATTTTGGGGATGGACCGCGGTGGTGAGTTGGGAATTGCACCCCAGAACGCAGTTTTGCCAATTCGGGTGTTGAAGATTGACCCAGAAGTGCCATTAGTCAACGCACTCTTGTATTTGGGGGCAGGGATAGTGACAGACCTCTTTGATGGGAATTCAGCCATCCATGAAGATCACCCGCAATCGAACTATGACCTGGTAGGGAGCTTTACCATTGAACACATGGAACTGGTGTGAAGCACCCAGTGGCTGGTGTTGGAATCCCATTTCCAGTGCCTACGACCTGTTTCCTTTTGGCTTGCCCTTATTTGAAGACAACCCATTTCGTCCTCTTTTGAGATCGACTTGACACCTGGCAGAAAGGCGTGGGATCATTTTTGCTTCAAGAAGCTATGCATTAACGAATATGGAACATATGATTATCTGTTTTTTTGGTGATTTGGACCCCCAAAAGCATCTCGAACAGGGTTGACGATGGCAACATCGTCACTGCTATGCTTGTTTGTGCGGGACATGTGTTTAGTTGTTTTTCATCGTGCTTGTGTGAAGCGGGGGCTACAAAGAACAACGATTTTGCGCGCGCACAAGAGGTTGGGAGGATAATTGCTGGCGGGCTGATCAGTGTGTTCTTTGGAGAACCACCCAAAAAGGGTTAACTTTGCTGCTTCCAAGTTTACTTTTTCTCAACTTGATACCCCTAGGGTGGATTGGACCTGTAGTTGAAGATGGGACTCTTGATTGAACATTTCAGCTCCTTTTTGTAAGGGGAGTATGTTTCATTTTGAAAGCCTTTGTGTCCGAACAGGGGGGGGCCCATGTTGGGCAGGGTTGTACTTCCAGCCAGGTGGGCCCTGTGGCTTTGTGAGAGGGGCTTGGCCAGTGGATTCCTGCCATTCAGTTTGTAGAGGTTGGCTCTCTCAGGTAAGTTACTATGGGATATGATTTTTAGTTGACGCTTTGGTGGACATCATTTAGATGAGGCTAAGAGTGTCCACCAAACATTTGGTGGTGTTTTTTTTTGGGGGGGATCCCCAACAATGGTCGTTTTCCTGCTGGTTTCCCTTGAAAAGCCCTTAAACAAGGTCGCACGCTCAGCAGGACCCGCGCAAAAACGCGCGTTTACCATTCAAATCTGCTGAAGGAGCATGCCGCAAGGTGCCAAAAAGTTCGTTTGTATCTAACAGCAGCTTTCATGCATTGACATGCTGGCATCGGGCACTGCTTGTTTTATCTCTTTGCCACAGAGACCACATGTTTAATATGTCAGGCACACAAAGACCGTCTATACAAGAATTGGTATGCTCTCGTCCACAGGCGACTGTTGATCAGGCCGCTGGGACCGCGGCTCTTCATCTCACTGGGCATGATATTTTTCAAGTGATGCCAGCAGCGATCAATCTGCTGCGTGCCCGCCAGCCATCCAAACCAGGAGGCAACGACACCCGTGCCAGGCGTAGCAGAATAAGCAGTGCGACTGGCTCCAAGACCGACTCCATGGGTGCCCAACGAAGTGCGAAAGTAAGGACGTGCGTGTGTTGTTGTTGTTGACGTTGTTGTTGTTGTTGGATGGGATGTTTGTGTGTGTATTCATGCGGTTTGCTTTTGAAGTGCCCATCACTCCGCTTGCCACATGCCACATGCCCTGCTCCAGCCAAACTCGTGCCTGCGGGGGCGCAGTTCGCCCGCCTCTTCCCCCCCCGCCACACGCAGAAGACACCAAAGCCGCGCCTGCCGGGTCTGGCAACATGGTCATGGTCGCTGTCATCCCCCCCCCCCACCCCTCAAAAAAGAAACGCCTCCACATGGACATGGTCGCTGTCATCCCCCCCCCCCCCACCCTCCAAAAAGAAACGCCTCCACGGGTCCGGTGGGGCGTGTCACCTTAAACAAGGGGGTGCCGCCTCCCAAAAACCCGACGAGCCGCTCATTTTATGGAGGGAGGTTCCAGCTCTGAAAGCTCGACGCGTCAGCGGTTTATCATTGGCTGGTGCGATGGGAATGAACCCGTGACCCGGGTCTTGGGCATGAGCTGGTTTCTGGGGAGTCCCGAATCTAAGGAAAGCCACCGGTGGGGATTTTTGTTACATATCTTTGATTTATTTTTTTGCTCGAAATGGGTCCTCCCATTTCTCTCATTCCCTGGCCATGGCACCGATCAAAAAAGGCAGCCAGAACCACAGGCCTCCGCTCTGGGCGGAGATGATGCGCCAGGAGCCGCCCGAGTTTCGTCAGCTCTCTCGTCTGGGTGCCAAGCCCCCCATGTTTTTTGACTGGAACCAAAGGCAGGCCAAAAGGAGATGGGGTTGCCTGTGCGCACTGGCGCCGGCACACCAGCACCGGCTCCAAAAGAAGCCATCTTCTTCGGGGAAACCCTGACATTTGCTCTAGTGCTAAACAATCCCCCCCCCAAAATTTTTTGGGCCGTGGCCTTGTGAGACTGACTCCTACTTGAGTCCACTTCAGCCTTTTTTAAGGCGCGCTTCCTTTGCGAGGTGTGTTTCGTTGCCGCCAAATGCCACGATGTTCAGTTTTGTCCGCGCAAACACATGGCGAGTTTTCACGTACCCCTTGATTGATGGTATGGATTGGCGGTTTGGATTCGGACTTGAACCCCTTGTTCAAAACCCCAATCAATGGGGCAAGCTGAAGTCTGTCCGACGAGGAGGTCATCGCTTCCCTGGTGTACACTCCAAGTTCGGTTCATATGTGTTTCGGCCCAACACCCCCTCATTCTGAAAATTATTCTTAAGATGAATCTCCTGTTGGCGGAGACCTGTTTGTCGAATCCTTCCGTTGATTTGCAGGCCCCTAAATCTGGGAGGGTTCCCTTGGGTTTCCCTTGACACCACACACAAGGGGTCTGCCAATTTTGGGGGGTCACGGAGGCTGACAGGGGTTCGGAAGACTGCTCTTGAAGAAGCCTCTCCACTTCCATGTCGGCCAGACACGGCACCAAGCACACGCCCATCCCTGGGAACATGAAAACAATAGGAATGAATACAACCAACCTCTGTGTACCTGACTACCTATGGAATTGTTTTTTTTTCTATCTTGGGGTTGAACCCTTGGGCTATGTTGGAAAGAGGGCGCGCGTTAGGACGAGCACCTCCGGGAGCCCTCTCCCGATGCTCCGCCGAAAGCTCGGGTTGGGTGCGCGAAACTCCTGCCGTTGTCGCTGGCGGTGTTTGGAATTTGTGAGGATGTTCCGGGGGTCCGGTTTTTAAGGGGGAAACCGAAGGAACACGGTTTCCAAAGTTTGGGGGCTAGGTCCCCCAGCTAGGTGCCCTTTTACCAACTTTTTTGGGGGAGGGTTCCTCTACCAAAATAGTAGAATCCTCTCTACTGGAGGACCTAAGGGGGCTTGCTGCTCCATCTAGAGACACGCTCTGCCGACAGGGATGCGAGATGGCGAAATGGACGACAACTCCCTCGCCACCTGAGCTACAATCAAAACCCGGGTAGATGAAGGTGAGTAATTCAGGGACAATCCCAGCCGGAAATAGCTGCGGCCGCCTTCTTAATTCTTTACATGGTTCTGGGTCGACCATTTTGATACCAGGTTTTGATTGTGACTCACCTCGGGTCCCGATTCCTGCCTCGATCAGACAGGTCTGGGCCGATTGAAGCCGAAAGGTAGGAGAGGATACCCCCCTGACAGGGGAAATGACCACGAAGCACGAGGAAGACGGATACCCCCCCCAAGGGCTCTACCGCTGGGTTGGATCTTTAGACTGGAAACTTTTTGGGATTCCCTTCATAATTTCCTTTTCACCAGCGAAAAGTTTTACAGCATCCTTCAGATCCAACGGAAACAACCATGTGTAGAGGAATCTATGTTGTTTTCCAGCATGGACTTGGTCTCCTGGTCCTGTAGGCTTGTCAGACAGCGCCGGTTTTTGGTCGGTTTTTGTTGAAGGGAGCGCGCGTGACAGGGTTCGGGAACATCTATGCTAGCCACACCAGCAATGTTTGTCTTACCTCTTAAAAACACAACTTTTCAACTTTTTGGGGGTAACATGGGCTATATGTCTGGAAAGATTAACTTCCCCAGGGCTAAGGGGTAAGTATTGTTGGGAACTTTGGTGATAGCCATGGGAATCTTAAGAACTGCCAAAGAAGGGTACCCTTCAATGCCCCTGGCCACTGAATTCGCATGCGCCCCGGAAGCACTTCCATTTGGCAGGTAAAGAGAACCAACCAGCCTTTGACCATCAGACAAATCCAAGGTTACCTATAGTGGCTATCCGCCCACCTGAAATTAAGGAACCTCGAAGGGGCAACACTTCAAGAAGCGGTTCAGAAGGTTTAAGGAGGGGTTTGAATCGCCCAACGCCCATTGTCTGGTTTGCTCTGGGCCAGACTCAAATCTCACCCCTGAGTTCCTGGACTTAACACGCATTTTGGGGTTGGGCCATTTCAGTGGTACGCAAGACAAAGTTCGGACCTCTTTTTTTGGCCAATCCACTGAAGTTCTAGGGGTACCTTCCCCATTCTTTCCAACAATCCTTCTTTCTAGAATTCCACCAAAAACCCTGGAGAAATGGATCCGGTTTTTGAAAAGAAGGATGGCTGAAAAGAATGGAACAGGAACCAACCCCTAGAGTGGTGCCCTTTTAGTACCTTTTTTTGGGAAGGGTTCCCCTCCTAAACCCTAAACCAAGCCCTAGAAATTTCGGCTTCCCTCGGACCAACCGGGCGGTTCCTTAACTTTCGAAGTCCTCTCGATCGATGCAGAGCCCCCAGGCCCGGCATGGAGCAGCAGGCCCGGGTTCGCCGTGGCACGTTCGCCGTGGGGTTGGCTTCGGTGGGAGTCGTGGGGGTCGTTTCAGGGCCTTTGAAGGGGTTGTTCTTTGGAAAAGTTACCTCTTAAAAACACAACTTTTCAACTTTTTGGGTAACATGGGCTATATGTCTGTAAAAGATTAACTTCCCCAGGGCTTGGAGTTTTAAGGGGTAAGAAAAGTTACCCCCCCCCGGCCCTGAATTGGACACTCTATTTGGGTGAATTCTAACGACTTACGACCTCACCCCAAATGGTGGTTGTTGGGGAATGGCCTTTCAACCATTGTAAGTTCCAGGCTGGTGAAATACGATAATTCACCCAGACGAACATTTTGCAACTCCCGGTTTTTGGGGGGTAGCTCTCTAGGCTGTCTCCATGGCACCCCTCCTTCCCCTGCGAGCCTGGGAGCTCTGTTGACGACGTTCCCCGCGTTGGGAAGCGCCTTCGAAGCGCGAAATGTCAGGGCGTCGATTTCTGGACCTCCAGGGCGAACTGACCTTTCGGTCCCACTTGGATTGCTTTCGGAGCGGGTACCTTTTAAAGGGGGTTGCTCAAACGGGAAACCAACAGGAAGCAAACGGTTTTCTTTTTTTCCTTGGGGGTGTCCTCTACTATCCCCGGGTTGCCCACTGAGCGCAAAATTATTCGGAAGGCTTTCCCCAGGAAAGCGCAGCGGAAGGCTCGTTTTCCTTTTCGGCTGTACCCGCGGCTTTTTAAAGGGACACCAACAGGAAACCCTTGCTATTCTGGGGGGTCCGAATCCTGAAAAAAGACACACCCAAGTTTCCCAAGCCCACCCTGAATCTGAACCTGAGCTTTTGCAAGGGCTGGATTGTTTCTGCTGAGCCTCGGCAAGCATGTCTCACGGACAAGAGAGACGGTGGAAGTCTGGGTGTGGTGGATTTTCGCGGATACTGTACCCCTTTTGTGGTGGGTTGAAAGGGAAACCAAGAGGAACACCGCGATCCAATTTGGGGGTCCACATCCCCATTTTGAGACCTACCCACTTCCATCGGTGTTGCGACTGCGCCCTAGAAGAATCCTTTCTTAGGGGATAAGTATCACAATTCTGTCGGGTTGTTGCACAGCGAGCAACTTGTCTAGCAACATTTTTGAGGACGTACCAAAGGTCATGCTCTGGGCGAAAGCGTCACTGCGCTCGGCTTGAAGTTTTGGCTTACGTTCGACGGGCGAACGAACATGACGGCGCTTCAGATGGCCGGGATCCCAGATGAGGTGAACTGGACAAGTTGAAATGGGTATCCTCCCTCCCACTACCCAGGTGTGTGTGTGTGTGTGTGTGTGTCAAAGTAAGGGGACTCAAGATGATGGTTTCCTGTTGGTGTCCCGTTCAAGCGGAAACTCAGACCAACATGGCGGGCTTTCCTTGTGGTTTCCCATTAAACGGTCAGAAAAGAGACTCCGAACGATGGGATACCCATAGGTGCGCTCGGGTGTTTCTTTGGAGGTGGTAAACCAAAGGGATCACCCCTCACTGAGTTCCTGAGCCTTGGTTTGGACCGCTTTAGTGGTAAACAAACAGTTTGCTTACTTTTTCTCGGCGCCTGAACCCACCAATAGGTCCTTTCAACAGGACATGTCTACTGGCCTCCATTTCAGAATTCTGGAAGTGGATGTTTGGGGCTTCAAGAGGGTCGTCTGAACCCCGACATCCTCTTCCATGATTGTTGCAAGAGGGGCCAGGGGGTCTAAGCCTTTGTTCCCCCTCCGAGTTGGCCCACCTTGCTGGGTTGCAGTACAGCTTGCCTTTGAGAACCAAAGCGCACTTTGGATTGGCCTAAGGGGCGGGAACGCGGAACCCTGCTTCCTTGGGGGCGTGCTTTCTTCCGCCTGGCTCGGAGAACCGGGAAGCTCGTCCATGTGGCGGTATGGCTTGGACAGGCCAAGAGAAAACAGGCAGTATGGATACAAGACCTCCTTTCCTTGCAACCAGATTTCAGGGGAAGGCCATTTTTCGAGGCTCGAAACCACGAATCCAGGGCCAAATTTATGAGCCTCTAACTGAAGGGCTTCCTGAGAAGTTGATGCAGCCCTGGGTGTTCTAGAGTGTCCTTTTTCGATTCACCCCGAAAAACCACAAGGCTTTGTGGAGTTTCATTTATTGCTTGGCTGCCAACAAATCGATGGTGCCCTTGTCTTTGGGCATCGATTTTACCGCTGGACATCTTCAACTTCCCCCGCACTTCCATTGGCCGAAATGCTTTTTCCCCCCGCCCCTCCTCCTCCCCCTTAAGTTTGTTTCAGGCGAATCCATTTCACTGGACCTATTTTTCCCCCCATTTTCCCACCGGGATGTCGGATGTCCCGCCGGTGGGGGGGGGGGGAAAGCGGGCAGCGAGCGAGTTCAGTTCTCGAGGTGCGCTCGCGGAGATGGGTCCTGGGAGCCTTGGCGCTGCTGGGCCTTGAAGCGCACTGCCGCGCGGTGCGCAGCGACGCCTTTGCGCCGCGGCCGGACGTAGCGCGGGCCAAGCTTGCTTTCACCCATGGGAGTTTTTTTCCATGGGAGGTCAATTTTGTTATGTGTGTCATGCTTTTCTCAAGTTTTCCTGGTTGACGCGTGCTTTTTATCAGGTTTTGAGTTGTTCCTTCTCTGGCTGTTCCTTTCTTGTTTCGTTTTGTGCGGTTCTTGGCCTTGGCTTTCCCTTGCTTTCCCTCGAGGTCACTTTGTTGCCTCAGGTGAATTCTGGCTCGCTGGAGGGGGTGACGCCTCCTGGCGGGGTCGGGCGTATCGGAGGCCTCCGGGGTGGCCGAGAGGGGCGTAAAGACCCCGATGCCTGGTCCTGGCTTGAAAAATTGGCCTTTCTTGGCTTTCCCGGCGAAACTCGTGGGGTGACATGGAAAACGTTTTTTTTTTTTTTTTTTTTTTTTTTTTAACTGCATGCGAGCGAAGTGGCCATGCAACCGAAGTGGCCGAGATGTGGTTGATGCTTGCTGGGGTTTGTGTGGCCTCTCAAATCTCTTTTGAAAGCAACTTACGAGTCTAGGTTTCTAAATATGGGTGTGGCTCAAAATTGAACAGGAGGGACGCAGGTGTTGGTCCATGTTTCCACTTACCAGGGTTCCATTTTGGCACCGGTTTCTTGAGCCAGAGCCATATGGGCCAGAATCAAACATCATATGTTTAGGGGCAAAAGCTGAGGTGGCCTCTAGGTGGCGGCACTCGCAACGCACAGTTTCTTCTGGGTTTCGAAGCGTCTGTTGAAGTCTCAAAGGGGCAGTTGATTGCCCCCTGACTCCTCCCCCCCGACTCAACTTCGCTGTTGTCCGCATGTTGTTTGTTTGGTTTTTCGGCTTTTTGGTTCAGTTTCATTTTCAGTAGGGAGCTGCAAAAAGAGCAGTTTTTGGCTACCATGCCAAGGCTTATAAAGCCAAGTTCCGAGTTAATGGTTCCATGTTTCGTTTTTCGTATAGTCTCATAGTCCAACATGTCCCAATGTGAGGCTCCCATTCCTTCCAGTTTTGCGGCTTATTGCTCACCACGGTCACCACAGGAGGAAGCTGCAGATTTTTATGGGAGAGCTGGGTCGAACTCAACCCGTGTGAGTGAGCAACCCTGCCAACATCCAGGGTCGTCTTGGCCCAAACAACCCACGACATCCACCAACAACCCTATTACTCAAACAATGCACCCAACACCAGCTCCAAACAACCCACCGTCATCCATCGACATCCACGTCCACGTGGTTAAGGGTTCGATTTCCTCGCGCCTATCCCCAACCCCATGTTCCCTCAAACAACCAAACAACCCACCAACATCCACAGACATCCGCCGACATCCAGCACCAACGTCCACCATCCTCCCCCCAACTTTGTGCCCTCCAAACAACCGTCCAAAATATGACCCTGCACCACCACCAGCCATCGGGGACAATTTTGGCAACGGCGTCCGTTTGGTTTCCCTTCAAGGCCAAACACAACAAATGGGTATGGCTGAAAATTAAGCAACCAAGGGACCGCAGGTTTTGGTCCATGTTTCCACGTACCAGGGTTCCATTTGGGGTACCGATTTTTGACCCACAACGAAATGGGTGCCATCCAAAAAGAGGAGCCACCAAGACCTCCAGCAGCCAATTTTCCACCTCCCTCCTCGAACCCTCCCTTCCGCCGCCCCATCAACCTGCCAACCCAATCCACCAGCCGACCATCCACCTCCCTCCCTCCCTTCCTGCCTCCCTTCCTCCCTCCCGCCGCTCCGCGCGCTCTAGAAAACGGCTTGGATGCGCGCTTTTTGTGGGATTTCAGCTGTTCCCAGTTTTCCGTTGGTCCTGTTTTACTCCTCTTTTTAGTACTCGGGGATACAAAAATCCACAGATTTTCCGGGGCTAAAATCCACGGATTCGCTCCGAGCCCGTTTTAAACGGAGCCGAGGATTTATTTGTCGCAGCTGGCGCTCGCGCTATGCCCCGGGCTGGCCGTGGCCGGGGGCGGCTTCGCGCTCTACAAGCGCCGGGAGTGCGCCTCGGGCCTTCGGTTCGCGCCCATTTGGAGCGGACGGGGAGGGGCCGACGGCCATGGACACGAGTCCAGTTTCGCAATTTTTCTTGGACCCGGACAGTCCGAATTCCCCCCACAGTTTTTTTTTTTTTTTTTTTTTTTTTTTTTTCCGGGGGTTTACGGGATTGGAGGCCCACCAGGAGCCGGGGTTCATGGGGAAATCGCCTGAGCTTATGTGGAAAAGGGGCCCATTAAAACCAGAAAAAAAAACACACTCCTTGCCAAATGCCCATGGTGTGACATCGGCTGAATCCCAGAAACCCCGTGGTTCTCCTTGAACATCAGCCAAAAAAGGGCGCATGGAAATCCAATGGGCTGTTGAGTTAAGGATGATCAAACTTCAACACATCTTTGCAACAGCGGGTTTATCTCAAGCCCAGCACTCAAAGAGGTTCCTTCATGCCTGGTGTGAAGCGGAGTTTGTCCATGCAGGCTGCAAATGGGCCCTCGCCCCCTCCTTGTTGCGGGCCCAAGCAACCTAGGTATGCAGCGAGCCATTCTGCGGAGAAATACTTACAATCCCCTCACGAAACCCGCTCACCGACCCCTTGAAACGGTGAACGATGAACGAGGCCAGCCCGGCGACCCAGTTGCCAAGATATTGAGAAGAGCAGCCTGGAACTCACATTCCCGCAAGTCATTCAGACCCAAACTTGCACCAGGTCAGCTAGAGTTCGTCACACAAAGAAAACGAAAGATGCCAAGAACAACAAAGAACCACAAATCCCCCACAACCCCTGGTGGAACCTTACCTCAGGGCCGCCCTGGACCACCCTGGAGCCTATCTGGGGCTGAGACCCCAAAGCTTTCAGAACAGAGCCCAAAGGGCTTGCGCGTGAAAATGGCCGCTCTGCTGGCCGGAGCGCGTTTCGCGCGCAAGAATCCATCAGCTTCCCTCTAACTGGTGGCTTGGAGCTGGTGGTTTGGTGGGTGAACAGGGTGGTTTCCCAATGAACTTTCTCCCCAACAGCCCGGAAAATTGAAAGCTTCAATGGTTCCAGGTCGGCCCAAGCCCATGTGGTACATCACTGCGGCCATCTTCGTGATGCTGGCGCTCTGCCTGCCCTTGGCCCCGCGGATGCCAAAGGATTGGTAGAACGGGATGGATGTCGGGTGGGGGGGGGGATGGATGTGGCAGAGGTGTGGCCCGACAAAGGGTTGGCTTGTCGGGTGGGCTTAGCCTTTTGTTTAGGGTCTCTTTTGACAAAGTGTGTAAATGTGGGACATAAGGTCCTCACGCAGGGTTCTATGTATGTTCTTGTACATTGTACATTGCCAGCATCTGAAAGCTCAACAAAAATGGGCCCCACCCGACTTGTTCCTCCCCAAGCACCGGTGCAGCTTGGAAGCTCCCCGAGCACCAAGCCTCTTGGCTTCTCACTGAATCCACCTCCGAAGGGCGTGGCCGGCGTCGCCTTCAATTTGGGTTGGACTCCAAGCCATCCCAACCGGAAGCCGATTTGCGGTTGGACTCTGTATGGCCATGGCTCAAAAGCCCGTGCCTCCAGTGAACATCCCAATCCCCACTAAAATAGGTTCTAAAATAGGTGGTATAATCACCTACCAACCAAAATGGGATCCCAAAACGGTTTTGACAACCACAGCCGTATTTCAAATCAAACGCAAGCGGCCTAGGCATCTAGAAACTCTTTGGGCAAAGGGCGCCTCTTTGATCCCCAACCCCTGGCGGTATTGGCGTTAGCATGCCCGGGATTTGGTGGGCATACCCAGAGAAACCATTCCTGGGGTGTCTTTTGTTATTTGTTCCATGTTCTCAGGTTCACCAAACAATACTAAGGTTCCAAGGTTCACCAGGATATATGTCCTAAGGCCGTCTGCACTATTGCGGGTTGGCAAAAGCTGAGGTTGTCCCGAAGAGACTCGAATGAGATGTCCAATGCAGTTAGAGTCTGAGCTCGCCTGTTTTTTTTTGCGCCAGCGCGCTTTCAGGAGAGTCCATGGATGTGTAGTTGGGTGTGTCTTTGGGGATGTGATTTTAGGGATGCCAGACTGGATTGTGGTTTTGAGTTGCTATGCTTGTCTAATTTCTTGATGGCGTTCATTCCTTGACAAATGGTATGCTCAAGTGCGACTCACAAAATCATTCTCGGGGCCGAACGGGAATCCAGGATTAGTCAACGACCCCCCCCCGCAAAAAAAAGGATAAGAAAAAAAAACACGCCCCCCCCCCACAAAAAAAAAGCACGAAAAAAAACACGAGACAAAAACACGATAAAAACACGAGAAAAAACAAAAGAGAAGCCAACTCCCGAAATAAAATCCGCACCCTTCGTCAAGTGGATGAGTCACTCTCCGGTCCCACGCCTCAGAGACCAAGATTGGGCCCCGTCTTTCTGGTGAGCTGATTTCAGGTCAACGTGCTCCTTTCTCCACTCAGAGCGATTTTTTTGGTGCCAAAAAACAACAGCAACAAGGAACCCACGCGAGCATTCACAGCCAAAAGAAGACAACAACAACACCAAAGAACACCAGCGAGAATTCACTGCCGGAAAACAAAGAAAAACACATCAAGAAAAGGAAGAAGCAACAACACCCAAGGAATGCTGAAATCACCTCGGGCGATCTCCTCAAGCTTCCCGGTCGTGCGAAAAAAAAGAAAAAAGAAAAAAAAGAGACTCCGTCTGAGGTCTTACCTGAGGCCCCCAAGGCGCAGGCTGGGAGGGTCACGCCCGCCCAATGGGAGAGCGTGAGGTGTTTTCAGGGTACCCCGCCTTTTTTGCGGCTTGAAGGGAGAACCAAAATTGCAAAGCCTAAAGGAAGATTCTGCTTCGGATTTTTGGTTTGGGGTTCGATGCGACACAGCTTTACGGGAGATAAGAGGATTTTTTAAAATGTTCCCCGCTAGTGAGTTTCCAGGACCATTCCAAACTTGATGGATTCGCACGCCTGGACATCGCTACACCGAAATTTAAGCTTCGACGATTTCTTGCGGGTGCGACAGGCAGGGCATGACCGAGTCCAGGTGTTGGGAATGAACCTGGGGGTTCCCTTAAAGGAAACCATAGGGGATGGTTTATATGCTTCATTCCCTCATTCCCTGCTTAGAACCAGGGTTTTCCTTTCATCTCAAGAGGGAGAAGGCAACTTGATTTAACTTGGGCGAATGTGTGTGTGTGTGTGTGTGTGCCTCCGGAATTTCCATGATGGGAGTACTCGCACGATAGCAGTCTTGATGAATTGATTTTGGGTGACGCGAACGTGGTACTTGTTTGATCCAGGATTTTACGACTGGCTAACGCGGTGCCTTTTAAGCGAGGGCATCTCTCTCGCCTTTGCCATCAGACACCAAGGGCTATCTATCAACTTATCAACGGGTGAGGCGTCACCAAAGCTTCGCACTGCCCTTGTGCTTATGGCAGCCTTCTTTCACGTCCCTTGAAGCCCCGGAAAACTCGGCGGAGCCATTCGTTTTACTCATCACAATGCTGCCGACTCTGATCTCAGCTTCAGTCTTGATCAGTTCTGAGTTCTGAGAGCTCCAATGCTTTTGTTCCTTTCGTCACACTCCCTATGTGGGCTTATCCTTTTTTGGAGGTACCCCTTTTTGCTTGGTGTTTTTTTATGGAAGTTAGCCAAGCCATGCTTGAGGGTCTCAAAAAAGGCGAGCCTGTATTTCTGATGCCTGGCAAAGGGCCCTCAATAGGCTACCCGAGAAGCTACCCGAGATGCTAGGCTGAGCCTTCCAAACCCGCTTAAGCCTCCGCAGATGGAGATTTCTTTTGGGGCGTCCTCCAAGACCTGTCTTAGAATCCTAAAAATCATGTGGGTGTGGCTCAAAATTAAAGAGCTAGGGCTACGCAGGCAGTCTTTGGTTCCAGTTACCAGGTTCCATCTTGGTACATCTTCTTGAGCCACAGCCATGTCCAGTGCTTCCAGCTACCCTAGTTGTGAACCATTTACTCAAGGGGAAATCCCTTATATCCTACTACAATCTGCCCGTTTTATGGCGAGCTGGTTGATCAGGGGGCAAAACCAGCTCTTCATTCTGTAGGCCTTTCAGGTTTAGAAGTACAAGGTCTGTGTGTGTGTGTGTGTGTGCGTGTTTGTTTTCAGGGATTCCTTTTTGTGGCTGTTTATCAATAAAGGGAAACCACCTGTTTTTTTGTGGGGGGGGTTCCCCATTTGGAGATGGACATATTTGCAGCCTTAGTTCAGACGGCCCTTAGTTGGTGGTTTGGATTGGAGTGGATTGGATTTTTGCAGGTGAATGGGAAACCACCCCGGAGCACGTCCAAAACCCGAATCCAAAGCACCAAGAGGGAAGCTAATAAAACAAGGCGCCGAATCTGGTTTCCCTTATCAAGATTTAACGGGTACCCTCAAAAAGTACAAACACCAACATCTGGGTCTGTCTTTCTTGAGGACACCTCTTGTGTGTGACTTCGAAGAGAAGCCAAAAGGAAAAGCAACAGCCATCTGGGTGAATTATAACGACCTCACACGACATCACCCCAAATGGTGGTTTATGTGGGGAATGGCCTCCCAACCACCTTATTTCAGGTTCGTGACATATTATAATTCACCCAGACCCATTAAACATGTTGGGGGGGGGGGAGTTGCCCTAAAACGTTGACCCAGGGTTACTAAACCCTTCCCATTATTTGGGGGGGGGGGGAGTTCCCTCCAAAAGTGGTCCGAATCCAACCACTAAAAGGGGACACCCCCCAATCAAAATCAACCAGGGGTTCTGCTTCATCCGGGGTTCACAAAAAATATATAAAAAAACAAACAAAAAACAGGAAAAACACCTTATTTGTTTAAACACACAAACACGAACAACGGCCCCAATATTGCTACCGCCGGCCCGCGGCGTGCGCCGGATCGACCACAAAAAGTGTGAGATGTCAGGCGCCCGCGGAGCCGCGGCACAGCGGGGAGCTGACTTTGCAGAGGGGCCAGCTCCATGGCCCGATGGCAAGGGGGGGTTAGGGGGTGGAGGGGTTGAGGGGTTGAGGGTTCATGGGGCATTGTTTGTTTGTTCTTGTGATCGGTTCGGGAGAGGCGGTTTTTTTTCCCATGTTTTTCTTGGCAAGGGGGCAAAGGGGGTTGAGCATAGGTGTCCTTTTTGGTTGTTTCGGTAGAAAAATAGATGGCGATTCCTAGTTTACCTGGTGGTTTAATCATCTGCCAGGGACATCTATTTCTCCTAAAAGGACACCTATGGGGTTGAGGGGGTGAGGGGGTTGAGGGGTTGAGGGCATGAGGGTTTTGTTGGTTTTCTGGCGCTCGGTGCGGGAGATGCAGGGAATTAGAAATGGAATGACCCCAAGAAAAAAGCCATCCCTTGAAGTACTTCAGCTTCTCCTTAGTTGGTGGTTTGGATTGGATGGCAAGGGGGTTGGGGGTTGAGGGGTTGAGGGGTTGAGGGGTTGAGGGGTTGAGGGGTTGACGGGTTGAGGGGTTGAGGGGTTGAGGGGTTGAGGGGTTGGTTGAGGGTTTTGTCGTTGTTCTTACGATCAGTGCGATAGCCAGGAAATGATCAGGTTGTCCCTAGTTGGTGGTTTGGATTGGTGGTTTGGATTTGGATTTAAACCAGGTTCTTGTAGAGGGTAGATGGGAACCCCCTCCGGAACACCACCAAACCAGCAATCCAAATCACGAATTGGAAGGAAGATGAAATGGAATGACCCTCCCGAGCAACAGCGAGTGTTTTGTTTCTTCTTATGTTTTTTGTTTGTTTTGCGGATCCGTCTGCCCATTTTATGGCAAGCTCACCAATGGTTTCTCCCAGACCCCCTGTTTCTCAGGTTGCCCGTAGTTGGTGGTTTGGATTGGGTAGGATTTTTTGATTTACCCCGGGCTGACTTTGGGGGTTCCTTCACTTTCCCTCACCCGGCGTGGGGAAGCCAAGGGGATGACTCAACCAAAATGGGTTGGAAGTGCGTGAAGCCTACTTTCATGCACCTTTGCTTGTTTTTTTTTGCCAGCGATTTGGACCCCCCCAATGGTGGGAGTCCTTTTGGTTTCCCGCCAAACCAACCTGGGAAGGGCGCCCTCACAAAGCAACGCGCTTTTCTTTTGGGACAGCAACCAGTGCAACTCCCAACTCCTGAGAAACGCTGAAGCAACCCGTAGACCTTCTCTGAGCTTTGGCCGCAGCTTCTGGCCTTTTGGGATTTCCGGTTTTTCTCCCCGGCAGAAGAGACGTTTTTGTTTTTAAGGGGGGGGCTTTGTCAAGATGACGACGCTTCCTTGGTGCCGATGGGTTTGCCGCCTTTTGATTGGGACCACACCAGCCTGCTTTTCGACCCCAGTCCGTCTAAGATGGATCACACCCCCAAACCGCTACCTCCGCAAGAAAATCAGGAACCCTTGATATGGTAGCTATGCAGTGGCTGATGGGAGTGTCTTTTTAGGGCACCCCCAAAATGCTTGGTTCCCTTCAAACCAACCAAAACGAGGGTCCCCCCCCCAAAAAAAAAAGAGTGTTCGAGCCGCCCATCTCCCGTATCCCACCCCAAAAAAAAGAAGAAGAAGAGAAAAGTGCAGGACCCGCCCATCTCCCGTTGTCCCGCCAATTCCTGGACACGTCCCGGCAAACCCGTCCCGTCACGGCAAACCCCGCCTGAGGATCGTTCTCGTCTCAGACCCACGGGGCGGGCGGGAAAAGGAGGGCTGGCAGCAGGCCCTCTGGACCAGCATGGCGGAGGCGGATGGGTTGAAATGGGGCGGTTTAGGACCTGTCCAAAATTCGGCATGTCTAGGTCCTTCAGCAATTGGTGCCCTTTCTCACCGTTTCTTTTTTGGTTCCCTGCTATAGTAGACTACAGAAGAAATCGGGTACCAACCTATTCTAACCTCTCTGGAGGACCTTAGGGGCCAAAGCCTGGGTTCGTTCCGTTTTTCTCATTCCCCAGTGTTTCTCACCGATCGCAAGGAAATGGGTGGTTCTTTTTTTCTTCCTGAGGGTTCCCTTTTCGAGCCAGAAGAAGGTACTGTCAAAGACGCGCGATTCAGGTTCACTGCTTGGTGGTTTGGAGTGGTTTGGCTGGATTTCTTGGAAATGCTGTGGTGTATAAGACGGTATGGGCTCTCGCAAAACACTCGGCACTTAGCCACAGGCGATGTGTTTCATTCTTTTGTTGTTTTTTGCGAGGCCCCATTTTTTTTTGGGGGGGGGGTTTGGCTTAAAGGACACCGCGGAAAAGCAGCCCAGTTTGGGGCTGCCCCTATTTCGAGACAACATCACATGGCTGAATCCCCGGTTGCAACCCCCAAGGTGTCCTGAGACAGGCCATCCGATGGCGGAACTTGGCGTTCGCTTTGGGGTAAGGGCATGTTGTCCCCGTCCGAATTTAATTCACAGAATTTAATCCCTTTTTCCTCAACAGCGCTGGGAGCTTTGGGGTCCCAGAGCCAGTTTTGGGCTCTGGGCTGGCTGGCAGCTGGGAGGGGTTCAGGGGCAGTTGGGTCCGGATACCCGGGCGTTGGTTTACACTTCTTGGGGCGCTGTCGCGCTGCCCGAAGAGGATAAACAAGATGAAGAAGAACGAGGAAGACGAAGAAGAGGAGGACGCAGAAATAGAAGAAGCAGAAGCAGAAGCAAATCAGAAGAAGAAGAGGAATAAAATAAGAAGAAGAAGAAGAACGCAGAAGCAACACATTGGAAGCTTAAGAAGAAGCACAGCAAATAGGATACTTAATATTGACGATGACGATATATTTCGGATGAAGAGGAAGCTGACTTAGATAAGCTTATTTTGAAGTGTGCTGGCTTTGCAGGGATGCTGGCCATTGCCCTCCAACCGGTCGAAAAGCGACATAGCCATGGTGGGAGGGTCATCTTCTTCATGCACTGCTTTTTATTTCCCTGCAAAATAAGATGGAGCCTGAAAAGGGTGTCCTTCCTCCGAACATGATGCTTTTTTGGGGGTTTTATGTTCATAGATCCCCGAGCAAAACCGTCTAACGCCCCACGTGGGGACAGGATCGGTCTTGGATCTCCAAATGTGGCAGCAGATCATGTACTCACCAGTTGATCTTCTTTTCGTGTAGGCTTAGAATCCGGGTTCCAACTTTTTCTACTTACTCCCCGACATTTTCTTCACGCGGAGCCCAAAAAAGGGGTACCCTCCCTTCCACTAACATAGCATGGGATGGTGCCTGGAAGATCATTTTCCTCTAGCAGCTGACCCCCTGTCAGTTGCTAACTGTAAGTGAGATTCCCATCCTATGACTGGCATGGGCTTTGTCGGATTCCCTGTTCCTTTGGTAAGCTGATTCGTTGATAGCCTGCGGATGTGCTTCGCTGCGGCCTGCCTCTTGCCTGCCAGGCCCTCCAGAAGGGAGAGGAGCAGGTGGCCCCTTGGCTCGCGAACCAGACTTTGGTCCAGAAAAAGGGGCAACTCAACTTCAGTGTTGTTGGATCAAGTTTTTAGGTTTTCTGTTTTTGTTTAGTTCTGTTCATTTTGGTGAGGGGAGTGGCCGCAGGGCTGATCATGAGCGCTCCTCCTATGAAATCTAGTCAGCCCTGGAGCAATCGATTCTTGCCATCCACCAAAAATCATCGCCAATAAGCAGAGTCGTCGAAGCAACAACACTATAGATGCAGCATCTGGTTTTCTGGGTGTTTTTTTACCTCACGTTTGAGGCCATCAAAGGGAACCGAGAAACATTGGGCGACATTGGCGACAGAGGCGGTTCTGCATAAACACCTGTTTTCATATTTTGGGTCCAAACGGGCTTAAAACCCCGGACAACCCCCCCGGACAAACCCCCGGACAACCCTCCGGACAGCTTTGAGGGCACAAAATCAGTGGGACAACTCCCCGGACAAACCCCCGGACAACCCTCCGGACAGCTTTGAGGGCCCAAAAGCCCGGGACAACTCCCGGACAAACCCCCGGACAACCCTCCGGACAGCTTTGAGGGCCCAAAAGCCCGGGACAAACCCCCAGACAAACCCCCGGACAACCCTCCGGACAGCTTTGAGGGCCCAAAAGCCCGGACACACCCCCCGCACAAGTCTTCGGACAGGCTTGGAACACGCCGGAAACCACTCGGAAACCACTCGGAAACCACTCGGAAACCACTTGGAAACCACTCGGAACCCGCTCAAAACCACTCGGAAACCACTTGGAGGGAAGTATTCTCGCGGAAGGGGGGGTTTGCAGCATAAATCTCTCAAAGTGCGCGGACAACCCTCCGGACAACCTTCCGGACACCCCCCCGGACAACTTGCCGGACAGTTGTTTGTCCAGCAGTTTGTCCCGCACTTTGTCCGGCACTTTGTCCCGCGCTCTGTCACGCATATCGAGGGGGGTGTTATGCAGAAGGGCTTTTTCTTCCACTGATATTCGATACAACCCAATCTCTGTTCGGGCACCTCTCGGGGGAGAATCGCTGGCCCTTGCCTCCAAGAGCTGCTTTTCACAGGTTCTCCCCCCCCCCCGCTGTCCAAACAGCAGTCCTTTGGTGGGATTGGCGTTTTCGGGATGTCCAGTCCAAGAGATGTCGTTGGGGCCCTCGTGGTTGCCACTTTAGAACACAGACAGCCGCTGAAGGGTCGACCAAGTGGTTGCGGAAGTGTTTTTGAACGTGACGCAGAGTAAACCAGTCCTTCGGGCACTCACCGCTATTGCCGGAGATTTTTTCACAGGGATCGGCATCCACTCTCGCCGGTTTGAGGTCATGGTGTTCACCCGCGGCTCGGCTAAGCATGGGCCTGCTTGAGCTCTTGGGAGGGAGGGCCCGCTTGGGGTTACGGTTGAGTCGTGGTCCATGGCTCATGACTTCGCCGGCATGGGTTTTTTTGAAGATGAACCCCAAAAAAAACACGGCAAAAAGTTCAGAGGGATCTGCTTTTAGCTTGACTGCTATTGGGTTGGATCTTTAGACTTTAACTTGTTGGGAAATCAAGGGGTTTGCCACTAAACCCCCAAAAAGTGAAACACTTTTTGCAGGGGGTGAACAGCAACCAAGGCATAAGGTTAACGTTGACCCCATGATTTCAACCCCAGTTTATCAATATGCGGGTGGTTTTTGGCCCCTCCCAGCCAACGTTGTTTGATTCCCCCCCCCAAAAAAAAAGCGGCAAGGTTTCAGAAGGAGCTCCTTTTTCGAAGGTAAAAAACAACCCCAACCAGGTCCCCAGTAGTGCCCTGTTAGGGCTCCCCTAAAAAGATTACGGCAAAAAACTCGGTTTCCAACTTATTCTAATCCCAATAGTGGAGGACCTAGCCAAATGGCTGCGGCTCGCAAGAATGTATCAAAATGGCAACTTGGTAAATGGAACCAAAGAGTAAAAACTGCGTAACCCTGGCTCTTTAATTTTGAGCCACACCCAAATGTTCCGGGTAGGTTGTGTCGACGTGGAAACAAAACCGCCATCAAGCCTCCGAACGGCATGGACCAAATGGAGCGGATGCTTGTTTGTTTGTTTGTTTGTTTGTTTGTTTGTTTGGTTTGCCCGGTCGTTTGTTTATTTGTTTATTTGTTTATTTGCTTGCTTGGTGAGTTCCTTTGTTTGCTTGCAGGTTGGTTCGGTGTATTTGTTTGGTATTGGCTTCTGGGTTTGGTTTTAGTTCATTTGTTTCGTTGCCTTCACTGTTGTCGGCATGTTTTTAGTTTGTGTTGTTTGAGTCTGTTCATTTTTAGTAGGCTGCGAAAAGTCCTCTTTTTTTTGCAAGCCCATACCAAGGGTTGGAAAGTAAAAGAAGGCTGGTCCAGTGGATCCATTTACCTATAGATAGTAGGTACCCAAGGGCTTGCCACCCCTTAAAATCCAAAAGGACAATTGCTAGTTACCTACTACAAGGGTAACTGGGATCCACTGGCTGCATAAACCATTCGGTATTTATAGGGGCTCATCATCATTTCTGTGTTTCTAAGGTGGTGCGAAGTGGATTTCGTCCATCCACAGTACCAAGAGTTGGACAGTTGCTTGATTTCTCACTCCCTGAGTTCCGCTTCGGACTTTCGTCGCTTTTTGAGCTTAATTGTCAAATTATAGTGGTAAGGAAAAAGTATGGTTGCCCGCCCGCAAATTATCATGGATGCTGACGTTCGGAAGACCCTTTTCCTTTCAAAGGGACCTCTTGTCGCGGACGTCAGGTTCCGGCTGACAATTGGTCGAAAGGTACTTTTTCCGACCCGTTCTCGAATCAGGTTGGAATGGGCATTCCCCAGGATCAAACCACTTTTCCAACCAATCCATCCACGAGAAGTGAGACAAGTTGTACTGGTCGGCTCTCTGGAAGACTGTTTCCCCCTGTCAGGCTCCATGTGAATTGGTGGGAGGCGTACCGTTTTTCTGATATGATGTTCACCAATGCGTGCAGTAATTAGGGTGTTTGGGAAACTGCTGCAAATAGGCGGGGCTCCTTAAAAGATACATTTTGCCCATTTGAAACATGGCTTTTCCACCAAAAGAAAGGGAACCCACCATGTACAAGTTGCAATGTTCAGGTGTATATTGTAAGGATTTTTTGAAATAGTTAGGTCTCCCTGGATTTTATCTTCTGATGTATTTTCGGCAGGCCATCCACTGGGGAAGTGCGACTCAGTTTCGGCTCTTTGGGGCTGAGGGCCCGCCTGCCCCTGGTGCGAGAAGCTCCACCCGGTGCTCGAGGGGGCCACTCGGCTGCGGGAAAAAAAACTCTGGGAGCGGCTGGGCAGAAAAAAAGAGGTGGTGTTCGGCTCGTTGTTTTGTTTGGTGTTCGTTGGTCGTTTCTGTAAGTTTTCTTGTTTTTTGTTTGCGTGTGTTTTTCTCTGTTTGTTTGGGATAATTTCAGTTAACTCTGTCTTGCCTCGAGTGTTTGCTCAGTTTTTGAGTTAATTGACCCCCACGGTTTTCGGTTGGCTCGTCTTGTAAGGAGTTTTGCTCGAAGTTGCAACAAGACATGCGTGTCTCAAATGGGAGCCGGTCTCAGAAAGGAAAGCTGGTCAGGTATCCTTAGTTGGTGGGTCGGATTGGTGGTTTGGGGAGTTGAAACCCTCGGTTGTTGTGGCGGGGAAATGGGAAGTACCTCCAAAACCACCAAACCACCAATCTAAACCACCAATCAGAGGGAATCTTGTGGCCTTGGGCGACCCTCAAGATGTGGGAGTGGTTGTCAAAACAAGGGTGCCGGCTCAAGCCCTCCCAGATCAGCTTCCCATTCATCGGTGGATTGGATTGGTGATCAGGGGTGGTTTCCCATTTATCCTCCAGAACGGGTTGAAATCTCCCTGCCGTTCCAAACCCCCAACTAGGGTTATCGGTTTCCTGATCCTGGAACGAAAACAGAAAAACGCTTCAAGGCTTCCCCACCCCCGCCACCCCCGAGAACACCCGACGAAGAGACGGGGCAGCGAAGGACATTCTGGACAAATCACTTCCGCAGAAAGAGACGTGAGAGATGTGGTGCCTCAGTTCGTGGGCTTGAGAACCCTGGATCAATAACAACACTAGCAGGGGATCGAAACAGTTCAGCGTGCACATTTTGTAAAAAGGGCTTCCTACCCCACCCCCCACCCCGAAGAAGACGCCAAGAAAGGCAGCCGCCCCCTGACCTCCGAACGGAACACCGCCACGAAATCGGCACAAGCCGAAGCCGAGCCGAGGCGATCAAGCGGCGCCAGGAGGCCATGGGCTCCGTGCCGGAAGACGCCCCCCCGCTGCTGAAAGCGCCCCTCCGGGTCTTCGTCTTCGACGCCTCGGAGCCCTCGGGTTGGGTTCGGTTGGGCTGAAATGACAGTAACAGGGTTCGGTTGGGGGGGTTGGGGGGGGTTGGGGGGGGTTGGGGGGGGTTGGGGGGGGTTGGGGGGGGTTGCCGGGGGCACCTGGAGCCCAGGCCTTTTTGCAAGCAACAATCCGGGAGCGATTCCATAGGTTCCTGACCTGAAACAAATCGCGCTCGGCCTTGCAGAGAGCGACCGACCCTTCGGGAGTGGCTTTGCCCACGACTTTTTTTCCATGATGCTGAGGTTTTCTTGTTCCAGGTTAGTGAATGCTTTTTCACCCAGATTCTCAGATGGTTTGGCTTCCCTTTTCGAGATCTTTGTTTGACAAGCTCAACCAGGGCAGCTGGGCTTGCGTAAAAGACACATGGGGTGTTTCACCATCCGCTCAGCAAGTGAGAAATGCTGGAGAGGTTAGAATCCATAGAGGTCGGGCATAGGGCTCCAGGGCCACTTTCTGTGATTCAAACCCCCCCCCCTTTCAAGACGCCAAAGTATATATAGGAACCCCTTTTTGGCATCAACTGATTTCGGGGATTTTCCACGACCATGCCCTTCCGCGGGTCTCAGGTCGCTCCAGCACGTCGAACGGCCTTTTCTAGTATCACTATATGTAGACGACCTCGTAGAGGCCTAGAGGCCGATTTGGAGTCTCCCCCCAGCCCCCTTCAGCCCCCTCCTGCCCCCTTATCTGCCCCCTTCACCTGCCCCCTTCTTCCCCCCCCTCCCCCCCCCATTCCCTCGGTTTCTTTGTTGGGTTGGTCCGACCAACCCCCGCCCCACAGCCCTCGACGGCTGCCAGGAGTTCTCGCCCATCATGCGCCGCTTCGGGGTGGAAGGCAGGGAGAAGGGAAGCTAAATCGATCAAACCAGGGTGCTGAGAGCCTCTTGTTTGTGCGGTCGGCGTCCGAGCGATTCGCTGTGGGTCAAACCAATGGGATCCCATTTTGTGGCTTTCGGTGCACCACCCATTTTAGAACCTATTTTAAAAGTTGGATTGGGATGTTCACTGGGGATACGATTTGGCTTTTGACCCTGGCCATTTCCCTTTTTGGAACCTCCATTGTTTGAAGAACCGCCGGCAGCGAATTGCAACTCTCAAAGAGGGTTTTGGGCTTCACTGAGGCTTCCCCCATGGGACGAATCCATACACTCCGGGTGAAACAAGGCATTTTGGTGCTTACACTTACCGACCTTGTGGGTTGATGAATCAAGAACAGAACCAACCGTTTAGCGGCGATTTTCAGTCGCCCCTTTGATAGAAATCGCGAAGTCACACGAACCTGCATTGAGGGTGCCCCAATAAGGCTTGCCAATGAACAGAAGTAAGGCATGTTCGTTGAAACTACTCGTTGGAACGTGACACACGCTTCCAGGAAAGCAAACTGCACACTGAATGGCAGTGATTACGTTTGTGGCTCCCGAGAGGAGGTGAAAGGTAAGCCGAACATGGGGCCCAAACTGGGGGTCCAGGAAATCCAAAAGCCGGCTGATTTTCCGCTTTTGGCTTCAACGGAGCGAGCCGAGCATCGAGCCGCGAGGCTTCCCCACCCTCTTCTTCTTCGGGCCACCCGGATCCAGGCGTGGAGAGACACCCAGCGGCGCTCTCTTTTGTTTGGTTTGGGCGGGTTTTGTTCGTTTTTTTTTTGTACACACCCGGGTGCTCTCTTTTTTGGTCTAAATAGGGTTTTTCCTTTTTTCTGCCACCCCCCCAAGCAGTTTTGTTTGTTTTTTGGTTTGGAATGTGGAGGGGGTTCCCTTCAAAGATTTCCGCCCAAAACAAGAAAAGCTCTTTCTGCCAATGGCTGGGCTTTTGGGATGATCGGCGCTGCTTTGTTTGGTTGCGGCTTTTGGTGAAGATTCCAAATGAGGAGGGTTTTTGGGGCACTCAATTGGTGGTTTAGAAGGGTTGAGTTTGAGCCCCAGTTTCTTTCGAAGCCGAATGGGGAACCACCAAACCAAACCACCAATAATAGGGGCAAGTTGAGTTCATTTGGTGTCCTTTTTCTTAGGTTAGTTTGGAAATAGATGGGTTCCACGGGGCGAGATTGGTTTTACAAACTCCATTTTCCAGAGGAAGCCCCATCTATTTTTCGGAAGGTCGCCTATGCATATTGCCCCCCCTTCAGTTCTAAAATTCTGCAGTTCTCTTGGGGGAACGCAAAAGCCGTCGCAAGGCGGGCATGACGCGAAAGGTGGGGAGGCCCTGGTCCTGCAGGCTTCATGAAGGAAGCCGAGGGAAGCCGCCCACGATTGCAGAGCTTCACCTCGAGCTGCGGTTGAAACCAAAAGGAAGCTGAGCCCCTGAGCCCCTCACATCAAGGACAGACACTCATAACCTCGACCAAGGGAAAAAAGGGTGGTTTGACCCCCCCACCCCCGAAACCACTCCGTGGTTCTTCCTTCGATTTCCCCGTGAGCCAAGCTGAAAAAGGGGTACCCTGCCGAAAACTCACACCCAGAGCAGAATGGCGGTTCACCCCATGAACTCATGGCTTTTTTTTTTCCGGAATCGCTGGCCCTCTTCGCTACTATGGGCCATGAAGCTTTGTTTTCAAGGCACCCCCAACCTGCCCCCTCGGAATTGTGAAACGTGACTCATTTCCTAGGTCCCCCAGTAGTGCCCTTTTACCAACTTTTCTGAGGGTTCCCCTACTAAAAGACAGGACAGAAGAAAATCGGGTACTAACTTCTTCTAACCTCTCTACTGGGGGACCTAGTTTTCTACCCTTACTTTGGTGCATGTTGTTTGGATGTTAGGACTTTAACTTTTTGCCAGCTAGTGGGGTTTCCATTGAACCACTAAAAGTTATTCACTTTTTGCAGGGGAGCAGAAAGCAACTGAGCTTAGGTTTCGCTTGGGGTGAATGGTTGTCCTCAGAGCCGCCGATGACTCACCCGGTGCCCGCGTGCCGCAGGCCCACCACGGTGCCGGGGTATTTGGGCGGCTTGGTCGCGAGAAGCTCGCTGGATGTGGCGTATGTGGGGAGTGCCTTCCATTTCCATTCTTTCCAGGAAACCATCAAAAGATGGAAACCATCTGGAATCTTTCCAGAAACCATCTGGTTACCTTCCTCATTCTGTCCAGGGATCCGGATCTTTCTACCAAACCCCCCACAAACCGAGGGGAAAACAGCTGGTTGTTGAGAAGAGAACGATGGTTGAGAATCATGGAAAAGGAATCAACCCCTAGAGCGCAGGTCTTGTTTTCAGCGCGGTGGTGCTTCCGCTTCTCCTCCAGTTTTCTCACCGCTCTTCCAGCTTTTTTCGGGCGGTGGTCGCGCCCCCTGTTTGCTGGCGGCTCCGGATTTGAGCGGGGGGGAATTGGAGGGCCGCTTGCGTAGGGCTCGGGAAGCTGCTTTTGGCTGGCACCAGGCGTGGGACGGGGTTAGGCAGGCAGGCAGGCACCAGATCTGGGGGTACTTGGCCTAATTGGGTGCTCCAGGCCACCGGGCCTCCCCCCAAAAAGATGAGGCGGGTACCTGGAAAACAAAGGGGGAGCCCATAAGGCTTTAAGGGTTCTAAGGGGTTTGGGTTAGGTTTGGGCCTGGCCGGTTTGAATTTGGGGGGTACAATGGCATGACGCTTGCCACTGCGTGCCTCTGCAGCCGGAGGGAACGGGGGCCCGCAAACTCTTGCGCTATGAAGCTGGACAATTCTCTGATGACTCCAATTCTGGTAGTAGGGTTGGATTGGTGTGAGGCTTCCTGGTTCTTGTAGAGTGTTGTTTCAGCAATGCGGGAAGCTGAGAAAAATGGTCGTGAGCAAATGATAAGATTCGGTTTTTGGGAGTTCCCCCCCCAATTTCCCAGGCAACGGCCTTGTGTTTCTTGGGACCCTTTTTGAGGTTGGTTTGAAGGGGGCAGTTGAACGGCCCCTTGGAGGGTTGCCCGATTCGTGGCTAGAGAAACTCTCAGGGCTTCTAGCTGGAGACCCTCCTTTTCTTTCCCTCGCGTGGGCCCGCTTTGGTTTCCAGCAAACTACCCTCAAGGCCATGCTTGTTGAACATCACCATTTGGATCCTTGATTTGTCCTTTCCGGTTGAAGAACACCAGAAACAAATCGGCTTTTTGCGGGTCTAAATCTAGAGTAAATGAGGTCTCCCGATTAAGGCTCACACCCATTTGGGTCTGTGGTTTTAGGGAGTGGGTACCCTCTTTGCGGGCCGAGTTTTCATGGCTGCCTGACAGGGAAACGAAAGGCACCCGCTTACCGTTTTGGGTTTGCTTGAACGTGAAACCAGCGGGAAACTGAAGTTCATCGTTTTTTTTTTCCTCCTCCTTTTTGCGTGTGGGTCAATACCCAGATGTCCCCCCTTTTTCGGGTAACCCCCCCGTTGTTTGTTCAAGTTCAACTGCGCATCTGGTGACCAGGGTTTCGACGTTCAAACACCTCGTGTGGCCCGGAGAAAGTCGAAGGACTGGCTCGGGGTGAATTTTCCACGAGACCCAAACGAGCGCGCAAGGACCCCTTGCCCATTCTAGTAGGTTCCACTACCTGGCATAGGGCTTGTAGTAAGGCCCTATGTCAACCTTTATCTTAGCAGCACTAAAAGTTAGCCCTCCCATTAGCGTGGCACCTGACAACCCGGTCCCAAGAGGAAGCTGATGTTCCAGGCAATGTTTCCAGAGGTGCCATGGCAACGTAGGGAGGGTTTCTCTGGTGGGCGCTGCTCAGATCGGCGGTGAGGCGACGAGGACTTTGACAAGGTCTTGATGGCGGCAGCCAGCGCGGAAGTGGAGCCTCCCCCCGAGGAACGCAGGAAGCGCAGAGGTCTCTTCAGGTAGACCGGTCCTTTTTGAGCGCTCAAACGTCCCAGCGTCCCTAACTGGCCGTTTCACTCGAGGTTTCTACGGGTGCAAGCTTCTTGCAAGGCCTACGCCCAGGTTTTAGAATCATGCTGGTAGAACCTTTGGTGCATTTGGCTTGGCTGTTAGGACTTTAACTTTTTGCCAACTAATGGGGTTTTCAGTACTAAACCCACTAAAAGTTAGTCACTTTTTGCAGGGCTTCGCAGATTTCGCCACCGAGTTGAACTATACGCGTTGGGTTTTGGGCGCTGACCGGTCCGTTGGAGATCTTCTGCCACCATTTTGGAATCGTGGCAGGGCTTGAGCCGCAGCGGAAACCCGGGGTGCTTTAAGTCCAAAAGGATCCGCTCGGTTTTTATTCTTTACCATTGTATTTGGGTAGACCGTTTGTAGAGTAGCTTTTGTGTTTTTTGGCCTCAGGCAAACAATGAGTGTGTCCGACCATCATCCGGACATCCGTGTCAGAAACGGCGCAAGAAACGGCTTGCGCATGCGCATGCGCTTGGATTGCCACTAGCAAAGCTGGGGCGGGTACAGACGGCACGCACTCCACGAATCGAGCTTGAAGCTTCGCCAAGAAGCCTCGATGGAATCTGCGGAAAATCTCATGGGCTCGGGCGTGCCGGCAAATGGATCATGGCTGGAGTCTGAAAAGAGGGCCTGGTTGCCTCGGGATCCAGTTGAAAAGTCTCCCAAAGAGGTGCCAAGTCCATCTTGCTGCTGATGGAAGCTTTGCTCGTACCAATCAGGCGAATGTGACCCCGGGTGCAACTATCAAATGAACCACAGTCAAATGTTACCATGACCTATTGTAGCTCTTACTCCCTGAGTTCCTGGACTTTAGTGACTTATGGGAAGATCATTTTAGCGGTAGTCAAGAAGATATCACTTTTTGTTGGCGCATCCTGGACTCACCAAGTTCCCATGTCGACTTTTTTTTTGAGTTGGTACCCCGGTTTTGGTGGTTAAGGGAAACCAACAAGGAGTACCGAAACGCGCATTTGTTGGGCCCGGTCCAAATCCTACAAAAAGTCCAGCCACGTGAGTGCAACACCATGATTCCCGAGCCTATCTGGGATCTCCCTTGAACCTCTTTCACATTTTTTCGGCTCGCGGGAAATTTGGCCCAGAGTCGCACATACAGACTTTTACGTTTGGGCGCAAATGTATATATTTCACTGCTGCCCTTTGATGTGACCAAATCACCCTTAGATGCTTAGACCGTTTCGCAACACATATGGGTTTCCCATTAAACTACAACAGGTGACCTACCCCTCCTATTTCTGGTGGATGTTCAAAAGCAGGAGAGAGTGACGCCTAGGTGAGTGTGTCCGAAATAGGGACCCCCCCCATCCCCCCCCCCCCCCAAAAAAAAAGAGGCTTCGGCTTCCCTTTGGTTTTCCTTTATCTAAGCGCAACAATATGGAATCCCTACGGGGAGTACGTACAAGCGGGGCGGGTAATTGATAGCTTTAGGCTTTCCAGCTTGCGATTCGTTAGGGCTTAGGGATTCTCCCCCTTGGACCACCCCGCCCGACTGGGATTCGCATTAAGGGCTTTTGCGCCGCAAACTACCCAGGCGCCTCGCCAAGAATCTCCGCAGGTGGAGCGCTTGGTGCACCTCTGCACGCAGATGGCGCTCTCGGACCAGACGTTGCACTTGGCAGCGGGGGAACCCAAACAAAAAGCCATGTAAACCAAACGGCATTAATTTGGTGTCGATTTTTGGTTGGTCTTCTGGCCAGTTTCCCCGTGAGTTTTTGGTTTCGCCCGAATTTTCTGGGAAGGGTTCTTTTGGTTTGGTTGGCTTTCTGGTTGCTTTTTTTCTGTGGTTTCTCCTTTGGTTGCTCTCTTCCTGCTTCTCTTTGATGGCTTTGCCTTTGGCTTCCCCAACCTCCAGCGGTGGGCTGATGTGGCCCCCCCCCCCACCAAGAGGGGACGGTGATGATCGGTTTCCCGAGAAGCACGGCCGGGTCCGAGCGAAAGGCAAATCTTTCCCGCTTCTCGAGTGAAACGTGTTCGGTGATTTTGCGATGACTTCCCTTGGCTTGATGCTTGGGCAGCTCTGAGGAGTTTTTGACCAGCGGTGGCCGGGCCTTGTTGCGCTTGCTTTTTGGCCCGGAAAACATAACTGGGAACTCCCTATGAGCTGCGAGCGTTTCTTCTCACTCTTCAAGTTTGGAATTGTTTGACCAATCCACGGAAGTGAGTGTCGTTTTGGCTTCGCTTGAAAACTGACCAAAAGGGTGGTCCCCAATTTTTTGGGACTCATCCATGCTGCGCAACCTTGGCCATTAAACGACTTTGCCCTTAACCAAATACGCTCACTTGAGCAATCAGAGCCAGCGCATCTGCCACACTTTGACGTTTTAAGGTGCACGGGTTGCGGGATTGAATGCCGCCTGATTACGTGTCATCAGTTGGGGAAAAAGCTGAGGTAGTTGAATCGAGTAGGCGACAGTCCTAAGCAGGTGCAGCGAGTTTCGAGCCTGTTCTGTCGCTTGGTCCTTGGTCCACCTGCCTTTGTTGTTGCCCATCAACCATGCCAAATGGGTGTGTCTCAATATGCCAAAAAATGGTTAGTGTCCACCCCAGAAACCTTCCCCAGAATTAGCTCCCCTTTTTGCTTTTTTGCTTTTTGGGGTTTCTTTTCTTTTCCACTAACCAGGCAAAAACATATTACTTTTTTGCAGGGGTCCTAATTCCAGCCAAGAAACGGTACCCCCACAAAAGTTACTGTCGCAAAACGATGGGTTCGGGGTCCCCTTCGGTAGACTCCTCGAGCTTCGAAGAACAGGACCCAAAAACTGGGGCGGCCCCCTGTTTTGAGACACAATGAGCCAACATGGCCTTGAATTTGAATGGGGAACCCCCTGAAAAGTGGTTGGTGGACATAAATCCCCACCTGAATGATGTCGACCAAAGGGTCCCAAACCAACATTCATATCCAAAGTGAAGGCCCGGAAGATTGGAGCAGGGCTTATGCCCAATACTTGCGATTGGCTTCGGCCACAAATTGCAGTCGGGGGAAACGCCAAGCTCGTATACCTACCGTGGCGTTGAGTGAGAATGTCTACTTTTGTATCTTCAACTTGTTCGTTCCCAGCCATCCGGTTCTTTAGGGTTTTGAGCCTTTAGTGGTTGGGTTTCCTTTTAACCCCCCCCCCAACAACAAAAAGAAAAAGAGAAAACATATTCACTTTTAGCCGGGGATCTGAAAACGGACAGCCCAGGCAACCGTAGCGAGGATTCATTGGGGGTTGTGAGAAGTTTTCCGTTGTTGAGGTCTTCTCCGAGCTTTGGATGGCCGTTTGGGTGTCTAGTCTTTTTTGGGGGACACCCCAAAATGGCGCAACGGGTGTCCTTTAAAACCGCGAAAAAAGATACCCTCAGAAAAACAGTCACCCCCCAAGCTGCTTTTTTAAGCATGCGATCTGGGCACGGGTCGAAATTAAGCCACCAGGAATTGGACCGCAGGTTGAAATGCCCATGTTTTCAATAAACCCGGGCAACCCATGTTGGGGTTACCGTACTTGTCAGTGTGTGCCGGAGCGTCAGCCTCACATTGAATTCTGTGTTGATTGATATGGCATGTCATGTTCTATTTGCAGCATCCAAAACCACGCATTTTCTGAGTTTGATAACCCCTAGAATCTGTGAAATAGTGACCTCTGTCTGTTTGAGCCTTGGCCCTCCAGTCGAGCCAGGTGGCCCTGCTGCGCGACGTCGGACCTCAGGAGCTGGAGCCTGCCTTGGCGGGGGAACCCAAACAAGAGAGACCCAAAGGCGAGGCCTCGGTTTTTTTTTGGGTTGCCGCTACGTTTCTTTTTGGTCGGCTTTTTGTTTAAAGGGTGATTCCCTGGACCTAGGGAAATGGAAACAACACTGGTTTGAATAAGGTTGATTCCCTTGACCAACAAATGGAAACACTGGTTTGCTTTAAGGTTGATTCCCTTGACCTAGGGAAATGGAGTTACACTGGTTTGAATGATCAGTTTCCTTGGTTTAAGGTTTTTCAGCTAGGTGCCAACTTTTACCGCTTCTTTTTTTGGGGGGAGGGTTCCCCTACTAAAATCGACCACAGAAAAAAAGTGGGTACCCTTATTCCAACCTCTCTACTGGAGGACCTAGTTTCTTTGGTCTTCTCTTCGGTTTAAGGTTGATTCCCTTGACCTACAAATGGAAGCACTGGTTTTGAATAAGGTTGATTCCCTTGACCTAGGGAAATGGAAACACTGGTTTGAATGATAGGCTGGCTCCCAGTTCCCAGCAAAAACACCAGCTACTATTTAAGCGGTGAGCCCATGAACGAACCCCCACAATTTACAAGATTTTATCATGTTTCATCCATCCCATTTGGTGCAGAATTTCGTCCATCCACAGTATTGTTTGAACATGGATTGGAACTTTGTTTGTGCAGGTTTACTTCAGAGTACTGCTTTTCTTGGATCCGTGGTTTGGAGATTACGTTGGCGCGTGTCTTTGAAGTTCTATATCAACCTGGGTGAGTCCAGGGGAATTCTGCCATCTACTTTCGCCCATTTGGGTTTGCCTTTCGTTAGTGGACACCCCCCCTCCCCACAAAAAACAGAAGAAGCAAAAGACCGAGCCACTCATTTTGTTCCGTTTTTTTTTCCCCTTTGCCCGGGGGGGGCCTAAAATGGCATCGGCGTTCCTTCTGCTTTCCCTTTAAAGCCCACATAAACGGGGGTACCAACTCCGAAAAAAAACACAAACACACATGTGGGCATGGGTCAAAATATACACCCCCTATAAACATCCCAACCCCCACAAAAAGACACTGAAATGGGTAGTGCACCTATCCCAAAATGGTACCATTGGGTTTGACCCACAGCCATGTGGTTTTTCTGACGGTTTCCCTTCAAAGCCACGAACAAAGGGTGGTTTTCCTCCCTTCAAACCACCAAAAGACGGCACCCCCCAACCACCAAAGAAGGGTCCCAACTCCAAAAAAGATCCGCGGGTTTCTCTGTTGGTTTCCCTTCACACCCACCAAGCTGACGTGGGACCAACTCCAAAAAACACGAGGCATGACACGCGTCCCGCAAGCGCCTTGCTCCCGCGCCTTCGACCTCAGGCGGAGCTGGGCTGCCTTAAGCTGGCCGAGGCCATGTGCGAGCTGAGCCATGAGTGCCCCTTGGTCTTTCCAGGGGCGACCTCATCCAAAGTTTCTTTGGTGCATTTTGCCAAGGGCTGTTAGGACTTTAACTTTTTGCCAACTAATGGGTTTTCCGTACTAAACCCACTAAAAGTTAGTCACTTTTAGCAGGGGAGCAGAAAGCAACCGAGGTTTGATAAATTATTTAAATTCTACTCTTCTCGGGGTTGATTT